GGGGGGGTAACTTCCCCCCCCCCCCCCCCCAAAGCGAGTTACAAATAAAGAGATTAACATTGGATCAGTTATCGGGGGCCTGTCTTACTAACCACTGCAGACTTGCTCTTGTTTGTTGATGGGTAACTTAGTTATCAAGACACCCGACGTTTATTTCTTTTAGCCGTGCTCTACCTCTATATGGACCTGCAACGACATGGTGTATCAATGGAAACCCCCGCTAGCATGCGATAACTCAGGGGGTCCATACTATGGGATCGCTTTAATGACGGAGTGGGGGAGGGGGAAGGGGTTGGCTTTATAGACTAGTTGTTTTTTTTTAAAAACTTATGTGCTAATAGATACTCCAAATTTCGGGAGATATGCTGTAAAAGCGGGACAGGTCACAACAGCACTGCTGTTCCTCTCGTTGTGAAGGAAGAAGGGTGACAGATTCAAGTTTTTGTGTGTGTGCCACAGTAGGATTCTTGGAGCCCTTTAACGAGGAGGCTGTAGCGAGTAGGAAATACAAGTGTTGCTGCCTGACGAGGAAATGGGCCAAAAAAAAAAATAAGGAAGACAACCGGAGGGGGGTGAGGGGGTGGGGGAATACGAAGAGGGAACAAACGATTGTACAACTATTTTGTTTTTAAAAATAAAAAAAGAGTGAAGATACTTAGCTGCAATGTGGAATCCGAGAGAACAGCAAGAGGACAGCACGAAAAAAGCAAGAAGGACAGCGAGATGATATCAAGAGGACAGCGTGAGGATAGCAAGAGGACAGCAAGAACATAGCAAGAGGACAGCAAGAGGACAGCATGAGAACAGCAAGAGAACAGCAAGATGACATCAATGGGAATGTCTCTCCCCCTTATTACCATGCTGCCGAAAGACAATGTTAAATGGGGAAAGAAAAACGAAAACTTTATACCAACCTCATATCTCAACAATACGATACTGATCTATGGCGATTGTTACCGGATAGTGAGACTGGGTATTGTCACTGGTTTGTCATTTCAAGAAAGAAATTGCACATATAAACATAATAGCCATGGACGAATTGTGCTTGAAGCTTGTCAGAAACACATGTCCATGCATAAAAATTGGCGCCGATGCCAACACAAGAGAGTGACAAAGTGAGCGCCCCCCCCCCTGATGCGGTACACTCTAGTTACTACCAAAGGACCCACAAATAGATACGTAGCCCAAGGGTCTAAGGAAGGCTTGGTAGAACCTAGAAGCCCCGTCTGTCTCGTGAATACACTTGGCTTCATTTTCTTTTTTCTTTTTTTTTTCTTTTTTTTTTTTGCAGCATTAGTTCCTTGTGCGTTCTGAGACAAAAAAAAACAAAAAACAAAAAAAAACAAGGCACGTTTGCTAACAAATTAGCTTAATCAATTTGCTGAGCTATAAGTATTTTAAAATGATGTTTAAAAAAAAAAAAAAGAAAAAAAAGAGACAGCTTAGGATGTATTGGGCATGAATCCTCTTAGAAAGCTTGCTTCCTCCATGCTGAATTATTGCAGTCGTGTCATGAGTTAAAAAAAGTATTTGAGATTAAAATAAAGATTAAGAAGCATAGATGCTAAGCGGTTGCCGCTCGGGGCGCATTTTAAACGTTATTTAAAAGACACGCTGGAAAGTGCGGCTAAAAAGGATTGACCACCCCCCCCCCACCCAAACGATGAACAGAAACGTGAGTGGGCGGAATGATAGAAGATGGAAAGAGAGAGATTTGGTGGTCGAGGCGACAGAGAGAGGACAGAAAGATGGGCGTATGGAGTGACGGAAGATGGACCAAAAAAAAAAATGCTCGGCTGTAATGACAGAAGACAGACAAGGATGACGGGTGGGTTGTTTCGATGGAGAGGTTGTGATTACGGCACTGGTTGTATTTCATACTGGTGCCAGTGTTAAGGCCGGAGCTGGTTACATAAACGACTCGGAAGATAATACGTTCATCGCTGTCTTATTTGGTTAGTGCCACTCACGTAGTCAGTCATCTCAACTATGTCAAGCTGACCAGAACGGCGTCCACCAATTAAAATGTCCAGAGACCTCCCTCGCGGCGGTAACGACCCCCCTGGCCGGTGACTGACGAGATGCGCGCCGCTCACCCTCCCGACGAGTCGGTGACTTCCGCATGCGCCCGTGACGTCGAACGGCGGCGCGAGGAAGCGCGCGCCGGTACCCTCCACTGCGAGTTTAATACGTCAGGGGGGGTGAGAAGTCGGGACTACCCCTTTTCCTTCAGCGCCCAAGTTCTCTCCCCATAAGCGCATAAGCTCCCTTTACAGATACAACCTTGTATCAACGGAATGGGTGCTTTAAGATCTATTATCTCGCTCACCCTTTGATAGGTCTGCCAGTTGTTTTCGCGTGATATTACTTTTATTCCACAACGATGAAGCCATCAAGATAAGCACGTGGATTTCAATGAGGACATTGCACGTAATTGCTGATACAAGAACATGAAAAACCTCACATCATAACAGGATACATGCCGTGATGTAACTGGCTGAAGACACTAAACTAAAATATTGAAAGGATAACGCAATAGATTTTTATGAATCATTACCAGATCTTGTGATTTCTGTAAACTCGGAGGTACACAAATTTCAAACCTTTTTCTTTCTTTTTTTTTCTTTTTCGGGTTGCAGCTTTTCTGCAAAATGTAATAACAACAGGACGGAAGGATTACATTTTTTTTTTTTTTTGGGGAAACAAAAAAAAAAAAAAAAAAAAAATAAAAA